AGGGTTCCTGCAGAGGGGAAAGAGGGGCCACTCAAGGGAGCCTGCCTCTTTCTTTTCTGCCCTTGATCTTCTCCAGAAACCCCCCTTGTCTGATCGGGTTGCAAGAGTTACACATGAAAACACCAAGAAGTGTTTTATCAAGAGGCGTGTACGGGGCCACCAGAGCAGCAGAGTTACAGAGGGGGCGTTGGTGCAGCCTCCCAAAGACTGTTCTAGCAAAGGGAGGTGTGCTGAGCGCAGAGCCATCTTGTGGGGGTGCAAGCTTCCCATCCCAGGAGGGGAGCAGAGGCTGAGCACCGAGTCATTTTACATCTTCTTTTATGTATGTCTGAAAGTGTTAAATAGCATTAAAAAAAATCCTAAATTTTACTGCAGCAAAATAGTTTTGAAAAGTAAAGTGAAATTGTAAAGTGATGATTCCCTTTTGACAAAACCAATTAAGTTGGAACATATAATATCCTATCATGTATATAAATCTAAAAGATTTTCGCCAGCACATCAGGTGTACTTTGGAAAACTCAACTATCAGCATCTTAAATAAACAGGAAGTGTCAAGGCAGTTCTTCCAGAAGCAGTGTCTCCGTGGAACCAGGCAAACGCTTGTTTCCTTTTGATCATCTTTAGGGTGTTGGCTTCTTGCCTCATGATTACAAAATAGCTGCTTCAGCCTGAGGCATTGCTCTGACATTCAAGGTAGGGAGGGAGAAACTCTAGCCAGCTGTATCTGCCCCCGTACAAGAACAAGGCAAAAGCTCTCAGATTCTACTCGAGACTTATTGGTCACACTGTTTTATGTGGCCTCCTGAGCTCCCTGGAGATTTCTCCACTCTTTAGTCCAGGTGGACAGAGAAAGGGGTTGGGGACGAGCAGGTGTGGGTGAGACGACCTCACACAGCTGCATCTGATACTTACTCTTGTTCCTTCAGTGCAAGGCTTAGTGCTGCCTTAGAAACTCAGCTACAAGTTCTCCAAACTCATAATAATTTAATGAATTACACTGTTATTAAACTGCACTTATTCTCCATTGTTCCTGCGTCTCACTGGTGTCCTTTGCAGGGCAATCAGGGTGCCAGGCCAGGAGCCATTTCTGCAGCTCTGACAGCTGAGGACCCTCCTGCGGCACCAGGGGGCTCTGGCCACACTCCCTGCCTCTGATCTCTCGGGGCACCTGCCCCAGAGAACTTGTCTTCCTGCTGCAGCGCCCAGCTGGACGTGTGTGTGTGTGTGTGTGTGTGTGTGCGCGCGCGTGTGCTTTTCCTCCCCTGCTGCTCCTGCACAGGTCTCTGGGTTTGCAGCCTGGTTCCAGAAACAGGTGCTTGACTGGCTACCGCAGGCGACTCCAGGCTGGGGGGATCCCCACGAAGGTGCGAAGGGAGGAGGGAAAGGAAAGCTGAGCAAATACGACAGCGCTTTGCTGATGGAGCTCTTCCAACCCAGGGTCCATCATGAGTCCATGGAGCAAGAGCCACCCCTCAGAAGGACCTGCTGCAGCTTGGGGGGCAGCACCCAGGGCTAGGTGCTGTCCTCCACAGTCAGCTGGCTCACACCCACCTGGGGTCTGACCTCTCTGGTTTCCTTGAGACCCTTGGCCAAAAGGGGAATGGGCACTGGGCAGCGCCCTCAGTTGGCCTTTATAGGCGGATGTGCTCATTAAACCTCTGCTGGGAGTCGACCCCTCCCCGCCCTGTGGACCAGCGGAGGTACCTAGGGCCTCAGCTGCCACCAGTGGGACTTGCCACTGGAGAACCGCTCCTCCCTCCTCCTTTACATTCCAAGGTTCTGTGTCGTCAGAAAAAGGCAAGAGAAGGGGAAGCCATTCCAGGAAAAAGAACCGGATGTGGCTGAAGACAGATCAGTCTGGCGGCACTGAAACTGCTTTTTAACGCAGTAGCTCCGACCCTTTATCCAGTCACCGCTGCTTTGAAGGATCTGATGACAGGAATAAATCCTTTCCCCAGAGAAGACGTGTGCCGTGCACATGGCCAGTTTGCCTACCTTCTACGCCCTTACCGGGTCCCCTTCTAGTCCCCCAGGGCTCTATGGGCTCCATGTTAGAGGTGAGTTAGAAGAAGCTGCTGTCAAAAGTCTAAAGGTGGTTGAAAAGTGGGTCTTAAACGACAGGTGCCCCACTTTTAGGAAGCCAGAGCTCACTCTTTGCAGAAGAGTATCAGGTGTTGATGGCTCCTCAAAGGCCCGTTTTAGTTCTCCAGGGGTCCATCTTCCACTGCAGGGACACGCCCACCGTTTGTGCTAATTCACCATGGGTATAGATGTGTGCGGAGGGAAGAATAATCCCTTCTGAAGTACATACAATCCACGGAGCCAGCTGAAGGCATTTGAACGCGCCGTCCAACTAACCCAGTCTCACACAGACAAGTGGTCCGGCTGCGTCTGCACCCAGTTGCTGTTCTGCTTCTTCTGCTCTGCCCGTCTGTCCGGGAGGATCCAGTTTCCCATATGGAACACGGTCCCTGCTTCCTCAAGCCAATACATCTTCAGACATCCGTTTAGGGTCAGGATGCAAGGACACTCTGGTTCAATAAAAAACAGGGATCCCCTGGTCAGGATTGGCAGGGGATTAGCTCCTGCTGGGGATGAACTCGAACTCGCATCACAGAGCCGCGTGTTCCTGGCTCATGCCCGTCCCCTTCTCTCTCGGTGGCTTCAGCTGTGGGCCCTTTTATGCCGACACTCGCTCCCTGTGGAGCTGGAGAGCCAGCACCTGCTATCCCAGGCTCCCAACGACTTTCCTTGGCCAGACCAAGTCTTGTGGTGATGCAGGGGAAAGCAAGAGCCACGGGTGGGCCCTAGGGACGTCTGCTGGACAGACTGACGCATGCTGGGAAATAACACCTTGGAATCTGAAAATAAATGAGTGTTTCCACTTTCAGCCACGATGGAGTAGCAGAGGCCAGTTTACCCGCTAGCCCACCTCAAAGAAAAACCCACCCCAATATGTGCAAAGTGCTTTCAGACACTAGACAACAAGCAGTGCAGGACTTTCATCACTGGGAGGAGAAACAAACTAGGCGGTCCCTGCGGTGGGCTTCCAGAGCTCGGGGGTCTCACTGGTTGACACATCACAGTGGGGAGTCCCATGTGGCTAGAATTTGAAGGGCAGAATACGGGAGAAAGACACAGAGGGGACTGTCTGGTCATTCATGCTGCTGTAACAAAACACCATAACCAGGTGGCTTCTAAAGAAACTTCGACCTCTCTCAGAGCTGGAGCCAAGGTCCAGGGACCAGCGGATTCTGGGTGCGGTGAGGCCTGTTCTTCACGGATGGCTACCTCCTGCTGGTCCTTGCATGGCAGAAGGAGCAAACAGGCTTCCGTGGCCTATTTTTTAAAGGAAGTCCGTCCATTTGTGAAGGCTCTGGGGTGTGTGAATGTGCGCCCGAGAGCCAGGCCGTCAGCAAGCATGGCAGTATCCCGAGACTGCAGAGGCCCCTGGAGAGACCAGCTGAGTGCTGTGAAGGTATCCACGTGAGGAGACGGGGGGTGGGTGGGGGGGGGGGCACAGCGACACAGCCACCAAACCACACGCCCGAGCTCACATGGGGCTGAAGTAGGACAGGCAGTCCCAGCCAGAGCAGGAGGACATGCTAATTTAGGGCATCTGACAGGATTCTCAGAAAGGTGTCACCCAACAGGGAACTGAGTAAGTTTTAACATCAGTGTTCCGATGCCACTTTATGCATTTTAAAGCAAACCCAAGCTCTGCACCGTGGAACAGCGATTCCCCGTTTCTCCCTCCCCAGCCTGGGTGTCCACCTTCCCTGGCCTGTGACTCTGACCACTCTGCATACCTTAGGTAGGTGGCATGGGACAGTAGCTGTCCTTTCATAACTGGCTTACCTCACCTGGAATGTCATCAAAAATTCCAGCACAAAGTGTCCCATTTCCTTTTAAGGGATTTTAGTCTACTTTCATAATACACTCTCCCATTTTAGACTCCTTGCCTTTTGGTGGGTTCTATGATCCCTCTGAAGAAGACGAGGACTAGTTGTATTGAGGAAGGGGTCACACACAGCCGGTGAGTGGCCTTGGCTGGAAGGTCTCCTTCCACAGCTAAGGTGCACCGTGGCCCGTGCTGGGCAGATCTGCATGGCACCTTTCCTGCCATGAGCGTGGTATGCGCTCATTCTGCCTCAGCACGTGCCTCACAAGGACCTGCCAGCCCCACGCTCTCCCTGTTCCCGCAGGGAAGGAACAGAATACTCTGCCCACAGACGATAGGAGCCTGGCCGGAGGGTCGGGGCCTACAGGGGCAGTTTATGTTGTTCCCTCTCCTGCGTGGGGAAGGCCTTCTCCTACTCAGGACCTGTAGGTGGACCATGCTAACCTTGACGCCGGCCCATCACTCAGTGGGTTGACCTTCTGGGACGCCACTTTGGGAAGGCCACTATCACCTGCCCCACATGCAGACCAGACTTTCACCAGGCCTTTCCAAATGCTCATCTATTTGTCCACAGTCAAGATTTATGAAAGTCGTTACTGTATGATGGTAGTTCTAAGAAATCTAAAGATAAATCATTAAAAATCAAACCAAATAAGAATCCCCTAAGAGAAGAAAATACACACCATGACATTAAAACTCTGCCCTGTGAAGGAGACCCTTCCAAGTGTCAGCTTTCGAGGGCTTGAATTTCCTGTCACTCTGGGAACACCCCACGCCATTGCCATCTTCCTGGGTAAGTCTCCATTTTCTTGGCCCCTTTCTCATACCAATGAGCTCAGGACACCTGGAGGACACTGTGTCCCACAGCTCCCCATGCCACGACGAGATGCTGCCAGGGACGATCACAGACCCAAGGCTAAATTTCTGATTCGTGCCACAGGAAATTATGCCTGGAGAGAGCCTTCATTACCCGGACCATTTTTGGCAGCTGGAATAAGAACAAAAACCAAGAACAACCCCCGCCCCGCAAACAAACAAACAAACCACTCACTAAAACACCAAGGAGTATTTTGAAAAAATTTGCTTTGAGAATTTACTGTACAGTTTTTAAACAATTTATTTATATGTTGGCTTCTACATGCTTACATTTGTGTAAAATATTTATACATATTCTTTACAGTTTGTACATATATTAAATGGCTGTATCATAAACACTGTTCTGTGGGATTTTAGAGGGGAAAAGTCAGGTGGGGAGAATTACTTATAAACAGTGACAGACCCGTGATGCTGGAGAGCGGGAGGTTCTCAGGTGACTACTGTCCTCATCTACTGCTTTGGTTTCTCCTGTTTTTGCTGCTGACTTTCCATTTCTGTAATCACTGGGTCAGAGCAGGGACGGTGACAGATGAGGTGGTAAGGCAACAGTGGAGCGGGCGGCCTGCGGGTGCTAATCAGCGGTCAGCAGGTCGAGACTTTTTTGCCTGGTGCCCTTAATGGAAGTATCAGTGACCAGGAAGGCTGGGCAGTCAAGACAGGTGTCGCTCGGGCTTCTCATCAGCACCTTCCTGCACACTGGGCATGCTGCCGTCCATCTCAGTCCCCAAACTCTCCCATTTGGTGGGGAGGGGCCAGGCACTAAACTCTGGTTTCCATCTTTTCAGAGAACCTCGACTGGCCTCCTGCCCACATGGCAATCACGTGGCACCTCAGGCCATCCCAGCACTTCTTCCCTCTGATGGCGAGTGGAGGGACAGGAGTGGGAGGGGCGGCAGCTCTGGAGGATGCTCTTCCCCCGGTGCTCCTGGGCACAGGAGTCAGAACGGCCACCAGCCCGGGGCTAAAGCCTTTTTAAAAGGTCTTTCAGCCTTTCTGCTGTATTCTTTCTAGCATAAACACGCCTTGCCCAGGATCAGGAAGCAGGGCACAGAGGGAGCACTGTCTTCCACGGAAGAGCAGCAGGCAGGTGCACTTGCTGTGTGCCCACTGTGCCCACCAAGGGGACACGAGATGGCCCCTGCAGCACATGCAGGGCGAGGTGCCCAGAGCCCTGGGCTCTCTCCCTCCTGAGACAGAAGCACTGGCGCAGTGAATGGTGTGCGGATCTTCCTGAACAGAGAGGAACCCCAGAGGACCAAGGAGTTATAAAAATATATAAACATGTGTCTTTTTATTCTGGAATATTTCATATTTTTAAGAAAGCAATTAGTAATTAATTATCTGACATTGGGTAAGAACCGGAAGATCATGGGTAATGTATAAATTACGATTATATGTAAAATATCAGTGGGGAGCCCCTAATTCTCCATTCAAAAATCCTAATAAATTTAAGTTCTTTTCAAAAATAGAGACGATTTCCATTGGTTTAAATAATGAATGTAGAAATAAACAAAAGAAGACCAACCCTAAATAATAGTGCATTCAGGCTGGTTAATAGAGAAAACAGCTTTTTCCAACTCTTATTTCTTTTTGGTTTTCTTTCTTTTTTTCTGATGATGGAGAAAAAAAATAAACTTTGAACTGCATTGCCCCAAGTCAGAAGGAAGCACTTCGGAGTCTTCTTCATGTTCCACTCTGTTCTACATAACCGGAAAGCGGCTGAGGGCCTGCCTCAGCTTTTCTGCAATCTGGTGAAAAGACAAAGCAATTCTGAGATATTACCCCATGATGATGTCACAGCACACTACCGTTACAACTCTCACAAGTAAACACCACAAACTTGCCGGCTCCTTCAACTGATCTCAGCTCTGCCTCTTCTGACCCTTCTCAGCCCTGCTCCTCCAGGGCCGGCTGCTGCTGACAGTGTGGCTGAGTTCTAACAGGAGCCAGAGGCAAAGACCCGCAGCCCCAGTTAGGAGAAGGTGTGACGCCATCACAGGCCCAGCTTGCTGTGCCGAGGAGGCGCTGGCGAGCTCTCTCTAGGCACACTACCCACCCCAGTTATTCCCACACATGCCACAGACAAGCAGGAAGCAAGTGACACACAGCTCCGTGTCAGCAGCCTGCCACAGGAGACTGGCGTTTTGGACAGTATGAGCCCAAAGGTGACACATGAATGGATGTGAGCTGAGGGCTGCCCTGCCACAGTCCCTGAACATACAGAATGCAGAGAAACGAGGCAGGGCCCAGCGGTCAATATAAGACTACAGAACTTGTCTTCTGATGTCTAAGCTCCATTTACATGAAAAGATCTGTTTTTTCCATGTTCTGCTAACCAAAACATTACAGAAGCATGAGAGTTTACGTTTTCATTGTAATTTTCTAAATGAAAATATTTAAGGTTTTGCTCTCTTTTGGTTTCCTGTAGAGAATCCTTTGGTCCACTCTGAACACCTGGGTCACACACAAAGGCTGCCTTTGGTCTCATTTCCCAGCTGAGAGGATGAAGTCTCTGGCAACAGGGTGACCTCATCTCATTCAGCACTGTCCCTGTGCACAAAGGCACAGAAAGGATGGGAGGAGGTTCGGGAAGCTGTGCAGTCAGGACTTCTTGGGCCTTCAAAACTAGCATCTAGTGCTTCTTCTTCAGAAGAAACCCTTTTTAACTCAATGTTACCCAAAGAGGAAAGGGCAGATGGAATTAAAAGAGGTTTAAAAAAAAAAAAAAACCTGTTCAAAACTTAACCCCTTTTGGTTTATTACTTAGGATTAAAGAATACAAACAGATTGACTTTATAAGGCCAAAGCTAGTTACCTGCAAGCCCTCCTCTCAGGGTATGGGTGCAAAAGGCACTGAAAGGGGTCCCACTTACTGTTTCATAGAACTGTACTTGTTGCTCCAGGTATAGGCGGATGACGCTGTTGTAATCATAGATCCGGTTACTGTGGAAGTGATTCATCTCAGCTACAACCCAAACCAAGACAGCTGTTAGTTTCCACCTCCCCAAGATTTCAAATGACTACACCTGGTTTCTCCACTCAGTCATGACTCATCATCAACTGGACCTGATCTGGCTGGCTTCTGAGCAGCTCCTGGCACATCATCCTGCACAGAGGCTAGAAAAACCGGCTGCACAGTCAGAGGCAAACACCACCTTCCAGTACATGGATGTTTTTCATTGATTTGCATGTTAAATACCACGAACGCCCTTCCGCATCCATCCAGACACTTTCATCCACCATCCACCATCCACTAAAACACAGGAGCCTCCATTTGCTGCTCCTGTCTGTTCACACATGGCTCTAAAAGTGAACCAATATCTTCTACTTACTACCAGCCAAACTATGCCTAGGATGATTCCTCCGGATCCCTTTTGCCCTCCACGGTCCTGGGGCACAAAGGTTATACACCGCTAAATGCCAGGCTTCGGAATTTAATAGAGCAGTATGATATTAAGGGTTATAAAAAGAACCTTCAGTGTCTCTAAGAAGTAACACAACATGTAGGTTTAATCAAGCTGCTGAAAGGGGCATTAGTGAGAAATTAAATATCACAGCTTTTCTTTAACACTGGGATCCGGCAAGCAAGGGGCTCTTGTTTATTTAACTGCTATTTATATTTGGAGTTCTCTCCAGCAAGGGGAATGTCTACTTTGTTGGGATGGCCCTCTACCAACTACTCATAACCTTTCTCCTTACCTTGCAAAGCATAAGACATGGTGCCGACTCGCTTCACCATGGTCTGCTTGTCCTGTGGAGTGATTTTACTAGTTGCAACTAGCTTATCACTTTCTTTCACTTTTTCTATTGCTCCCTGTGAAATAGAAAATGCAATGATATTGGTAAGATAAATTGAAAGGGATTAGTCATTAGTTTAAAAAAATGCAACAATGTTGGGGCTAGGGTGGTGGCTCAGTGGTAGAGTGCTCACCTAGCATGCATGAGGCACTGGGTTCAATCCTCAGTACCACATAAAAACAAAATAATGTATCCACCTAAAACTACAGATACACAAATAAATATTTAAAAAAATGCAACAATGTTAACATATTCTACAAGTGACTTTCCACAAGTGGGAACATGTGTCCACCAGTAAGCACAGAGGCAAGCATCTAAATTTAATTTCCCTGAAAGAGAAAAAACTGCTATTCCTGAAAAAATGTAACTAAGCTAAAATTTATCATTTTTATGCTACAACAAAAGAGAAAACCACACAGCACACCATCTCTGTATTATTTATAAGCCACAGGCATTTCAAGAGTAGTGCACAACAGGAAAACAGGCATTCCCAGCAGCTTTGGGAAGCCCGAGGGAGCTGCCGTGTAGTACCTGCACACGGGGCTTTGTCTGTCTCTTCTTCCATGAAACAAGGTTTATAAACTGGCACTTGCATCTGACTGCAAGGCTTAGCTTTATTCTGATTTTTGTAAGGGGGAATGAATAAATTTAAACTAATATTTAGATGGTAGAAGTTGTAAAGGCTGCCACACATCTCTCACTCCAGTGTCACTGCCCTGCTTGTTGTTTAGGGCTATCTGGGAGGGAAAATGCCATACTGCTGCCCAAATCAGCCTCTAGGCCTAGAACTCCAAGCCTGCCAGGGCAAATTCCTATGAGAAGCAAACTGTTCTCAGTTTTACACTAAATTGTCTGAAGTTGTACAAAAGCCTATTAACCCATGCTTCCCTTCACAAGATTTAAATGGTAAAGCATAAAGCAGAATGCTACATGCCACAGCTGGTAAAATTCTCATGACTGAGGTAACGTGGATTTTGAAAAAGGAAGAGGAAAAACTAACCAGAACTAAAATGTGAGGTCACCCAATCCAATTTTTATTTAGAAATCATTTTTTTTTTCTTTCAAATATACCTTTAATTCTAGTTGGGAATCGTTAACAAGTTTAGAAATCTTTATGATGGGAATTAGCATTTCTTATTAATAAGGACAACCCTGTCAGATGGCATTGCCAGGCTGTGTGTGTGTCTGCCCGAAGCCCTCTCCTTTGTGCCTGTGGCCAGGTTACCTTGTGAGCACCAATGATATCCGGGAAGCAGCCAAGGAAGCCTTTATACTCGTGATTACATTCCATGAGGAAGTGGAGATCTTTCTTTGGCTGTAACAAGAGATTGGCTGGTTGTTACTGGCAGAGGAATTAAAAAAAAATCAAGGAAAAGAAACTAGTATATGAGGACCATGCCAACCAGATCCTCCACGCATAGCCAAGTCACTGCACGTGAGGCATTCAGACTACTTTTCCTAAAAGAAAATAATCCCCCAAACTACTGCACTCTGACTCACATGTAGTAAAGGATAAAACAGCATACAATTTTTAGATTGCTTTGTAAAATTAGATATTTTGTGGTGATCCAATATAAAACACTATGAGGGAAAAATTCTCAGCTAATAGTTTGTTTTTCTAGGTGTGGTGGTGCACCCTGTAATCTCAGGGGCTTGCTAGGACAGCAAATTCAAGGCCAACCTCAGCAACTTAGCAGGCCCCTAAGCAACTTAGTGAGACCCTGTTTCAAAATAAAAAAAATTAAAAAGACTGTAGATGTGACTCAGTGGTAAAGTACCCTGGGTCCAATCCCCAGTACTGAGGGAAAAATGCAAAACAAAAAAACTGTATGTTTTATATGCAGACAAATAAATTGTTATAGTTTAATATCTTTATTTTTAGCAGAAAATATACAAATATTATTTAAAAACCTGGTAATCTTCTTAAGTGGCAATTTTTAAGTGATTCTATATTTTTTGAATTTATATATATGAGTGTACACTCCCCCACTCCCCCCGTACTGACTATTCTGCCCAGGGCCTGTGCATGCCAGCCAAGTGCTCCGCCACTGAGCTACACCCCTAGCTCACCCAGCAGCTCACCCACCAACTTTAAAGATAAGGATCCTTTAAAAGACAGGGACGATACTACTGTACACCTAAGAAAGAAAATTGCTCTGACATGTGTGACCCACCAGGGGGTGATCCTGGGCAGCTCAGAGCAAGCTGGCTTTTGAACCAGGAAGCAAAGAAGGCCCTCGTGGAAGACAGGTGCCCTGTTTGTCATCTAAGGCTCTTCTCCCTGCCCCGCTTTTTTCCCTTGCTAAGTTACTCAGGCTGCCCTTGAACTTACCATCCTTCCACCTCAGGCCCCAAGTGGCTGGGATTGCAGGAGCCGCACCACCAGGGCTGGCCTAAGGGTAATTTTTAATAGCTATGTTACTCACAATTCTAACGTTGATATTTTTATGAGTATTAGCAAAAGAGCTACTGACTGACTGCTTCAGTGTGTATGCGCGTGTGTGTATATGTGGCATAAGTATGTTTCAAGAGCCAACTGAATTTTTTTTTTTAAATTCAGAGATGTGAAACAATTTATATGATTATGCCCCTTAAAAACTGTTATCTGTTAAAAAAAAAAAAGGAAATTGTTATTTATTAGAATTTTCAGTGGTTCAAAGGTGTGTTCTGGGGATGGGGACTGCGGCAAGTGCTTTTTAAGATATATTAGCTATAAGGAACTGGGGCCGTGGCTGAGGGGCAGAGCGCTTGCCTAGCATGTGTGAGGCACTGGGTTTGATCCTCAGCACCACATATAGATAAATAAAAAATAAAGGTACATCAACAACTAAAAAATATTTAAAAAGAAATATATTAGCTATGGAATCCTCAGAACCACAGAAGGCAGGCACTACCAAGGCCCTTTAACACATGAGGAGACCAAGACACGGCAAGTCTAGGTAAGAGTCCTGGCAGCGCTGAGCCAGGGCTCTCTCCCATATGCCACCATCCTTTGAAGGCCAAGCACGGCTCAGAGCTATCAATACTGGAAGGCATTCATTTAGACTGTTTTTTTTTTTTTTTTTTTTTTTTTTGTGCTCAGGACAGAATCCAGGGCCTCACACATGCTGAACAGATGATCTACCACTGATCTCAACTTCTTTTAGACTTTTGGATGACATATTTTGTCTATCCACTTTGGCTTAACCTAAGAAACACTGTGTCAGTGGGCTGGAGATGTCGCTCAGTGGAAGCACTTGGCTAGCACATGCAAAGCCCCGGATTTCTGGCCCCAGCACTGCAGAACAAACAGAAGCCCCATCCCCCTACAGTTAACAAAGACACTTAGAAGCAGAAAAGAAAAGGCTATTTGGATTTGCCGTACAATAAGTCTTAAATCTGTGCATTAGAAAGCAAAAAACTCTTCCCTGGGATCATGTGATCATGCAGTACCTGTTCTGCCACAAGACTGGCGATCTCCTCGTAAGTCTTTCCTGCTTCTGTTATTGCGTCATTGAGATCTGCTTCACCTGAAAAGGATTATAGTGACTGGAAGTTATACATATTTACTTTTGATTTTCTTCAAAATTTTATTGGTAAATTTTAATGTAGGAAATACCAAATACTCGCAAAACAAGCAAGATCAATCCTGTGATTCCTTAGCACTAGCGCCCAGCTTCCCAAATGGAAGCTTAAGGCCAACATTTCCTATGTACACTCTCCACTCCTGTCACACAATCCACCTGGAAACTGTACCTAAAAGATAAGGACCCTTTGAAAAATAGGACAATACCACTGCACTCCACCGCACATGAAGAAAAGACCATCACTCTGACAGGCGTGACCCTCCAGTGGGTGCTCCAGGCAGCTCAGGGCAAGCTGGCTTTTGAACCAGGATGCAAAGAAGATGCGGAAGACAGGCCTGTGTCTGTCATGGAGGCCTCTTCTTCCCGCCTCCCCCCTTTTATTCCTTGCAAAGTTCTTTTCACGGGGTGCTGAGGATCACGGGTCCCACACCTGGGTGCTACTGACTGCATCTCTGCAGTGAAACTTAACACGTTCCTGTTCCTGCCTTCACTTTACACTGGCCATAAGGTCTGGAGGCTTGACCAGATTTAGATTCACGTTTTCCAGTTATTTCTAGTTTTCACAATGTTGGAGGCCACAAATGTTGTTGTCTATGTCTTTTACTTTAGTATGGATTTACAAAATGGTGCTCTTCTATTTAATTATTCATTCTTTTTTTTAAATATTTATTTTTTAGGTGTAGATGGACACAACACAATGCCTTTATTTTTATGTGGTGCTGAGGATCGAACCCGGGTCCCGTGGGTGCTAGGCAAGCGCTCTACCGCTGAGCCACAATCCCATCCCCTAATTATTCATTCTTTATTAGCTGAACTACTTCTGTTAACTTTCCTTTATCAATTTCTTGGTGATCAAAGAAAGGCCTTTTAAGTGAATAGCAGGGAAAACTGTGTTCTTCAAAAGATGGAAAATATATCATGAGCTCATAGTAATATTTCCAATTCAAGATTAGAACTCAAGAGTTTTTTTTAACTTTGTTTTAAACTTTGATTTTTATTTTAAAAATCTTAGTTGCTAATAACAATAACATAATCAGATATCTGGCTTGCCCTACACTATGTAAATATAGCTTTAGAAGTTTTATAATATTAATACCAATATCTTATTGCTTATTAGTGGATTAGCAAAAGTAACTAATTCTTTTGCAGTCTTTAAGACCTTAGGCATCTTCTGTAGGTCGCACAGTCACTGCCTTCACCTCAATGAACCAGGTCACGTGTTTTTTTTCTTTCTTGTTTGCTTTTTTTTTTTTTAGTTATAGGTGGACACAGTATCTTTATTTTTTTAATGTGGTGCTGAGGATCGAACCCAGTGCCTCATGCATGCTAGGTGAGCGCTGTACCTCTGAGCTATAACCCCTGCCCACATGTTTTGATTTTGACTCTAAGGGATTTCTTTTTCATTTTGATTTAAATTGGTTTTCTAATAATTGTGTTAAACAGTCACATGTTTTTTTTCAAAGTCAAATCTACAAAAGGAGTTATCATTAGAGCCTTGCTTCTGTATCTGTCCTTCTCCTCCTCCACAGATAATCATTTACAATTTTTTATTCATTACATTTCCATATGATAATAAGAATACGGACTATTTCACGGGTCAGTCGACCACACGCACTGCTGAGAGAGCAGGGTGAACGTGTCTGCTCCAGCCAGAGGCCTCCTTAGGAATGGGCTGCAGAGACGGTAATCATAAGAGCACAAGGCGCAGTGCTGCTCCAGGACACCACGCCCGGCACTACTGACCTTCACTGTCCTTTGAGATGGAAGAAGTTTGTCAGGAGGAACTTGAACAGTTCTTTAAAAATAGTAACTAGTAAATTAAATGACATTCAATATAAAACATATTGAATACTTTTTAATACTTGAAAAATGCCATTTGCAGGATGACTATCTAATAATGTGTTATTAGATAATGTGACAAGGACAGTACAGAAAATATGGAGGAATCATTGTGCAGCTCATTCTGGGGCATTCAAGAGATGAGCACCTGGACAGTGGCAGTGCCTGACGCCCCCTCCTACTGCCCACCTTCACTACCTGGAGGTGGCCTCAGCCCTCCTCCCACCTGCACCTTCTAGTCCTCCTTTCTCCTTTTGGTTAATTACATTTTCTTTCTTCTATGTTGGTTCAGGTTAAAATTATAGAGATGGTAAGGCTCCAGAGAATCTGATCTGTCTCAAGAAAAATACAGTGGGTTCCAGCATATTTTTAAGAGAATGAGTTATTTGCAGTATAACGTCATCAAGGAACTTCTTTAGAATCACTTTCTAGTTTACCATCTTCTCTTCCCCCTCTTTTAAAACTTTTGCTCAGTTATCTGCACCTCTATTACTACTGTCATACCAATGAACAATGAGTGATATTCTCATCTCCTCCAGAATCAGGGAGGAGGGAACAGCCAACTGCTATTTGAAAACCCTATGATTGTTCTGAATGGTTTCTAAGTTTTCTATGTGACTTCAAATGACTAGAGATCCAAAATCTGGGAACATGTATTGTATAACCTGGCCCAAAGCAAACTCTGAATTCACACCTAGGAGAACTGTTAGGCTTCCACTACCAGTTAGGGCATGGATGACAGCAAGGGACTGCCAATTTCACCATGGTAACAAGATACCAAAGGAAAAAAGTCCTGCTTTTCCTTAGTCACTGATGCATGGCAGGAATGATGAAATCCAAACGAGCCACATTCTGAAAGAGGTGAGCTTGTCCATTCTAGGCCTCAGAAGTTCTGACACAGGATGACATGGGGACCAACAAGTGACTTCTAGCATCACAGACGGCTCCCACCTGGTCCCACACTGCAGCACCTCAAAGGTAACAGGGTGCCTGTACATCTGCCCAGGAACCACCCCACTCCCGGTTCTGGTCTTGGTGCCTCCACTGGCCACTGATCAACTAGGCCAAGGCACTTTTCTCATAGGCTTCTCATTGAGGCTAACTGGACCTGAGGTTCCTTCCAGTCTAAGTGCCGATTATAAGATGGAGAACTCAGGCCAACAAGAACTACTCATATGTGGGAGCCCTCAATCTTATATTCTGATGACAGACCCATTTCTTGTTTCTGCAAACATTTAGAAAATGACATCCAAAGCCCTGTCCTGTCTAGTATCGGATTAGCTTCCTGGGGAGGTACCAATTCTAACACTGAGTTACCCACGTGGCGAGAGGAGACACTCAAATTCAATAGGTGCCCTAGCTGACCAATGCTTTTTCCGTTTTATAAAGGAAACTCACAAGTGCTGCCAAGGTATGAGGGCAAGGACGCCACCTGCCACAGGCAGCACATATCTGTGCAGGACAAGCTGAAAATGATTATGAAGAGATACAAGGCAACAGATTTATTACTTAAATATGGTTCCTTGAAAGACCCTGATGAAACCTGGCTTTTTCAACAGGAAGCCTTGACGAGGTTTGGCACAGAGATGCAGTAAGGGTAGACTGCTGTCTGCCGCAGTTACCTATCACCTTAAGTGAAGGAACTATACCTGACAGCAAAGGCAGGGAGCCAAGCTGGCAAGAAAACACCGGTGTAACAGCCCCTCACTCTTCTCCAGAGCCAGGAGGTGAGGCTGCACAGGCCTGTGCATGTGGCCTGGCCAAGTGGACATCAGGGACAGCAGTGCTCACTGCCACACTGCTGTCTGCCTGCCAGATCCTGAGGGGTGACAGGTCTGGATAAGACCCTGAAAGAGGGTTTTCTCTCAACTGCGGAAGCCGAAAGAGCTGATCTCAAGGTGGAAGACAGCAGAACTGGGGTCGCTAGAGGTCAGGGATGATGGGGATAGGAGGCTGGGTAACAGGAAGTGAAACCCCAAGAGGAACAAGTTCTAGAGTTCCACAGCACAGCAGGCAACCCCAGTACACAACAGCCTATTACATATTTTATGCAGAACTCAAGAGAGCAGCACATAAGAAATGATAAAGGTGGAAGACTAGCTGCCAGCTTCACATGGCACACTGCATACACTGCGTACACGCAACGAGTCACCACACTGTATTCCATAGGTGGGTACAATTATTATGTATCGATTAAAAAAAATACAAAATAAATAAATAAAGATGTACCTTGATAACCGCTGGAACTAAACACTGTTGCTAAGCTCTGCAAGGCTTTTCCTATCTTCTGATATTCCTTGGGTAATGCTGAAGGAGAATGAAAGAATCAATTGTTAACTAGTCCTCCAAGTAAATGGAAATGGGGTTCAACTTTTTTCTAATAGTAATTATTTTATAACAAAAGACATTTGATGTGATTCAAAACAGTCTATATTCTTTAATAAAGCACTGATACATGTTAGGCAAGCACTCTACCATGAGCTAAAGCCCCAGCCCTTTTTAAATTTTAAAAAGGCCCCACTGAGTTGGCCAGGCTGGACAACTTGGGACCCTCCTGCCTCAGTCTCCTGAGTTGCTGGGATTACAGGCATGTACCACGGTGCTCAACTTGTTATTTATGTTTAATTCATGTTCAATTAAGAGTGGATGCTATTATTACCAACCACCCCACTTTCTCATCCACTGAATGAAACACAGTGAAACCAAGCTCACCTGAATGACTTCTGGTTTGCAAAGCACCTTCACATGCATCACTGAACTGAGTTGTCACAAGAACCCCCACCAGGGGTAGAGATGTCCCCATGTGAAGGAAAATAAGGTACAGACAACCTAACTGATGGGCCCAAGGCTACATGCAGACCAGTAACCAACCACACAACAACTGAGAGGAGGAAGTGTGGCAGAACAAGGCAGTCAGAATCATGGGACTGGGGACGGGGAGCTGTCTCCTCACCAACTGGCCCTACGCCTCCTCCTTAAGCTGGGAGACACTAGGATTTGAGGATCTTTCCAGAGCATCTCCAAAAAAGTCTCCATGTCATAGGCTGCTCTGTCCCCTTGCATGCGCCTATGGCCTTTGAGGGAACCTGTTTGAGCGGTAGGTTATTAGGACACTCGGACCCAAACTATGTTAGCTCAGTCATCCTTAAGAACCTGCTCACCTTGGTGCTTCTGCCTCTCCCTGGGCTCAAAGACACTGCCAGGTGCTTGACCCCACGGGGTTTCGTGTCAAAGCCAGTATCTCCAGTTTCACACATCTGTTCCTATGGCCTAACAGGGCTTGGAGCTGACCAGCCAGCAAATGTAAAGAATTTAATTCTCTAAAAGAAACCACAATCCCAGATTTGTCTGATATTCTTAAAAATTTAAGATCTGCATTCACTTAAAAAAAGTTTTCAAAGGGCACATAGATTTAAGTGGTTTGTTTTGATGACCTTCTAATAGCTAAACAAATCTATTACTTTAAAAACTGATTTCCTAAAATGCATCTAGGCCACCTACTCAGTTTTAAAAAACAGAATATTACCAATGACTTTTAGAATCAATTTGTGTTCCCCCTTCCCAACTCAATGTCCTTCTGACCATGAATTTTTGCTTGTCTTTCATTTGTTTTTTTCCTAATTCATACATACCTAAAACATATGGCTTACTTTGACATGTTCTGATAACATGTGAATTCCAACATACTGTGAGTATTCCATAGCTTGTTTTGTTTGTTTTGCTTTGTGAGATTTTTCTATGTTGATAAACAGAGCAGCTGTGGTTCACAGGACATTGTATCATTGGAATACATCATAAATGAACTGTTGTTTCCAGTTTTTACCTGGAACCATGTGAAATCAGTTTTTTTTTTTTTAAACCTGGAACCATGTGAAATTAGTTCTGCAGATTAAAAGTGTTCAGTTTCAGTTATTTAATATAGTTTAATTGATACAAACAATGCTGCTGCAAACATTTGTGTATATCTCTCTTTATGCCTATGTGAAAACTTATCTTCACTGGGAAGAAGTGGAATTTCCAATTTTAACACACTAGCATCTTGAATTTACTACATCACATCAAACTGTTTTCCAAAATTACTATTCCTCCTGTATCCCTATCATAGAAGGATAAATGTTCCCACTGCTTCACAATGTTAAAAATACAGAGTATGTTTTTTTTCCTTTGCAAAATAGGACAAACTGGAAGATGTACAATTATATTTCATCATGTTTTTAATTTTTGTTTTCCTGAACAGTGATAAGGTTGAGTATCTTAAAAATAAAACAAAACAAAACTGAATTCCTTCATTTATATTTTAGAGAAGAGCGTCCCTGGAAACCTGACTGTATTTGTCAGGCTTTGACCAAAGAGCTGCAGAATTCTGGATGTAGGAAAATGGCCCCGCTGGGTGACAGTTCCCACCAAAGCCCCAAGAGGAAGAGGCTCCCACAGCCAGGAAGGTGGGTGGAGCCATGGCTAATGTGCCACATCTCCCTAGCACCCAGACTATCTGTCCTAGCAACGATACTGGCTTTCCTAAGAATTGTGGCTTTAGTCAAATACATCACATCTTACCACTGGGTGTGGTGGTACAGGCCTTTAGTCTCAGGACTCAGGAGGCTGAGGCAGGAGAATCTCCAGTTGGAGGACTGAGGATGTAGTTCAGTGGTAAAATACCCCTGGGTTCAGTTTCCAGTACCAAAGAAAAAACAAACAAGCAAAAACAAAAAAATCCCAGCAACTGGAACTATGTAATCTAACAGGTGTTTCTGGTGGGACTTCTTGGACTGGCTCTGTTGGGGCTGGCTTTCTGCTGTTTAACAGGGTGGAGGAGTGAGGTCAGGCTAAGGGCCTTGGGAGTGACACACTGGGTCCACAGGAGTGGCCTCTGTGTGGGGAAGGCTCCCCATGAAGAGTATTCACAAAGCTGAGCCACTCGGTGGCACTTACGCCCGGTGCAGCGCTTCCAGTGCTCCTGGCCAACGGTCAGCAGCTCCTTCACGCCATCGTCCATGGCCTTGGTGAACTTCCCCACCGCGTCACACTTCTGTTCTCTGTGGTCAATGGGAAGGACACCAGTGGTGTGGGAGACACAGACCAAACCTAACCCAGCCCTTGTTTTCCTGCACGGCAGCAACTACCCTTTAACTCAATAAGTCTTAAACAGAAGAGGCTCAGATTTTTAAATATGACTTAAAAATCTGCCACTTACATTTTAGCTTTGCTTTCTTTCCTCAAAGAAAGAATTTTAACTAAAACTGAAATTCTAAAGTAAAATTACCTCTTGAGTATTTTATGCAAGGAAATTCTGTGGTTTCTAATGGTAGTTATTGCTAAATTCATTCCACTGAGTACTTTAACAAACAGATGAAAACCTGGGTACACACCAGGTAGCTTTGCCTAAGACTCAAGCTTTTGAAGGGTATAAAAAGCTCATCTACTAACCTACAAAGACCACAGTATACTGCTGAATGAAAAAAGCAGTTCATAAAATAGAATGGAAGGGCTGGGAGTATAGGTTAGTGGCAGAGCACAGCTTAGCAAGTGTGACACCCTGAGTTCCATCCCCAGAGCACAAAAATGAAATAACATAAAATAACAAAAAAACACAAAATGACATAAAATAAGAATGATTAAGGGCTGGGGATGTAACTCAGTGGTTCAGTGCTTGCCTAGCACGTGTGAAACTCTGGGTTCAATCTTTAGCGCTGCAAAAACAAACAAACAAAAAAACACTAATTAAAAAACATATAACTGAGATTATTTCTATTTAAAAATAATTCTCAGTAGTTTGATATATAGAGTAGAGTTTTGAAAACTATAATACCAACATATGAACATTCATTTTTTTCTTGTCCATATTTTTAGTAATATATAAGCAAAAGAAAAAAATCTTAAAATTAAAACATCCCAAGATTGCTTACTAGTCCTTATACAGAAAAGGAACTACTTCAAAATTCAGCTGGTCTGTTTTAAAAAAAGATGACCCGATGCAAAACAGATGGAAAAAACAGAAAAGCCAGGTTAGAGACTGCGTCCTTCAAAGTGGGGCTCAGGATTTCGGCTTGTTGGCTTCTGAGTGGGTACTAGTGGCTCTGGGCCACTTGGTCTCATCATACTTTACTGGAACTGACTAAGACTGTGTCAACTATGGAATCACTGACTTCAAGGTAAAAGAAATCAGAGCTTAATCTAAAGTTATGGCAGAAACATGGCACTTCCTTCCAAACAGGGTGAGTTCCTGAGTTCTGACCAGGAACCCTGCTGGCGTCATAAGCTCCCTTCAGCTCCAGCACAAACACCCTGGCCAAGACTGCACGCCACGCAGGCAGCTGCAGATGACTGCACTGAGAGCAGCTGTCAGCGTCTCTTACATCTCTGTTAAGTCCAAGTCAGGTGCCTCTGGTTCCATGGTGGAAAATATCATGACTCCCACCAGCTCGTCTTTCTCAGCCTTCCTCTTCCCAGTTTTCCATTCCTGCAAAAGAGAACAGCATCACAAAGTCAGATGCACAGCAGAGTCAGTGGTCTTCCAGATTCCCGTGCCGGCTCAGTTCACTGGTCATCCTCCTCTTCCTCCGTTCCATTCTCCGGCATCAGGGGCCAAGTGCCTGCACACCTCAGTGTGTGACCTGCACCACTGCCGAGCAGTCCTCACGAAACCACGTCTTTTGAGAGCAAACAGATTTGGTCACATGCCTTTTCCAAGGCTACCAAGATAAACACACCCTGTAAATTTTGACCATTAGCTGTTTTCAAAAAATGGTTAGAACTTTTCTAAAATACAAGATGGGAACCAGTTTTATGAGATATTTTTAAAAACTTATTTTAAGACACACACACACAGTGCCCATAGCAGAAATACACAGAGCAACACACCCTCACACAGAATGTGTGAGTACACCTCGGCCAAAAAAGAAAAGAGCTGGCATTCCAGAGGCCCTTGGCTCCTTCCTTACCACCCCTCTCCCCCACAAGGGTGCCCCTATTCTTTCTTTGACGGTTTTCATTTCCTGCCTTTTTTGGTTTTTCACATCTACCCTTCCTGCCACCCCCACCATTACTGTTTGGCCATGTTTCTGAACTTGCAAAGAGCTATCAAGTATGCACTGCTCTGTGCCTGGGTCCTTTGGTCAGCCATGGAATGACCTACATCCACACTGCTGTGTGGCTGCACGTGCTACTGCATGAGCATTTCCCAACGTGTCCATCCACTCTGCTAGTGGCAGCCACCTCTCCCTGTCAGTAGGGATATGCCCACCTCTTGGTGTGCATGTGCTGTACTCCGTGGTACCTCTGAGTGCACATGCTGGATCCTGGTTCAACTACGGTAGGTAACACCAGACTGTTTTCCAAGCTGCTCTTACCCATTTCCACTCCCCCCAGCACAGTGAGTCCAGTGATGTCTCACCTCTCCAAGGAGAAGCGTGGCTGTCAGTCTCCTCATCTTAGCCATATTGATGAGTGTGGACTGGTGTCTTGCTGTGGTTTTAATTTACATTTCCCTGATCGTACTGAGCTGATTGTCTTATTGTTTATGTGGGTTTTTATAAATTCTAAATACCTTCATTGGGTATTTATGTTGCAAATATCTTTTATCTAAATAGCTTGTTTTTTTTTTAAAACTTTTAATTGTTTTTCTGATAAAAAAAAAAGTCCTTAGTCTTACTGTAGTCTAATTTATTCATCTATCCCCGAATGCTCAGTCTTGTTTGTGTCTCATTTCAGCAATCTTTTCCCATGCTAGGGTTATGAAGATAATATCCTAGGTCATGTTCTAGAAGGTTCATTATACTGCCTTCCACATTTACATCTGAAATTGGTTTTTAAAACCTTGATACAATGGAAAATTTCAAACATATATGAAAGTAGGGCTGGGGATATAGCTCTGTAGGTAGAGTGCTTGCCTCACGTGCACAAGGCCCTGGGTTCAATTCCCAGCACCACCAAAAACAAAACAAAACTCATATGAAAGTAGAGAGAAAAGTGTAAGCCCCCACAGACTCGGCTTCAATGACATCAACCTTCTGTCGCTGTTCTTTTCTGTCTCATTAGTTTATTATAAGAGAGAATGAACAATTTTTACATTATGAAAGATTTCAGAACTTCAAGCAATAGGCAGCTTCACGTGGTGCAGTCCCCACAGTGACTTACTCAGCCTACGCACTTTCCAAGACTGTCACCATCTCTAAATAGGAAATAATACTTATCAGCTGGGAGCAATGGCTTGTGCCTATAATCCCAGGTACCTGGGAAGCTGAGGCAAAAGGACTATAAATTCAAGGCCACTAGGCAACACAGTGAGACTCCATCTCAAAAAGAAAGAAAAAAAAAAAAAAAGAGAGATAATTAAGGAAGAAAAAAATTCCTCACTGTCCAGACCCACTTCAATGTCTCCGTATCTGGAAGAACTTTACCTCCAACTTCCCTCCCCCTGGTTGCTCCTCTACACTCTTACCCTTCTGACAGCTGCTTCTGCTGCCTGCATTACTCTTCCTTGAGACTTTCCTGGGAGCACACCCTCCTTTGGTCACAACTTCAGCTGCGTGCCCTGCAACTAACATTCATGGAGCAGAAGAAACCGCCCAGACCCTGTCCTGCTGCAAGGCCCACCACACAAGGAGACTGCAGTCGGCTCTGGATGTGAACATGGGAGAAGCTGTCCAGAGCCCAACAGGCCCAGCACTGCTTACTGAAAAAGCTCTGTTCCCTCCCTCCGTGCTCAAGGCTACTCTATCCTGTCCTCTGGGGCTGCCTGTCTATCCTTTAGAGGAGAGAGGGGAAGGAAAAAAAAAAAAAAAAAGAGGAAGGAATGAAGAGAAAAGGAAAGGCCCAGAGGCACCAGCTCGGTGCTTCCTAAGCTGCCCGAGCTGCACTGAGCTGAGGCCAGCGGCGCCCTCCTAGAGCATCTGGGCTCCTCTTAGCACTTTTCCTACTCACCACATTTTTTCCTGTTTTTAAATCTGTGAAACACAGTATTAGAAATTTTATTTAGGTCTTCTTTTACTTATCTCAATAATGTTTCATAGTTTTCTATGGAGAGCTTTCTTAAATTTCTTCTATTTATTCCTAGTTATTTGACACTTTGGATGGTATTGTAAATTATAGGCTTTTGGGTTTTTTTACTTAAAATCTTTTTATCACTGACAAACTGCAATGTCTTATCTCTATAGCTACCTTAATGCTCATTTATTTCTAGTAATTTCTATGTATTTTCTTTGGGATTTTCTATGTTCACCACTATATGAGCTACTAATAGCCACAGAACTCATTTTCCTAGTTCTACAATGTCATTTGGTAGGAGAGGAAAATGTGGCCCAAAGAGAACACATGCCCTGAGCAAGATCACGCAGTGGTCAGAAACAGAGCCCAGGCTGGAAGCATCCTGACTCCAAGTTCTCTGTTTCTCTGACACACTTTTACTGCATGCCGATCTGTCTTTGAAGATGGCAGCCATGAAAAATAAAACGACCCGTGATGAGGGTTTACTATTATTTGTACACTATACTATGTAAATACATGACCTTCAGATATGCTTTCTACATCAAATCCTGGGCAAATCACACAATTGGGACTACTGAAGTCCTTTGGGTCATCATGAGACAGCAAACCATGAGGGGTCCATGTAGCTTCCATAGCTACCAAGTAACAAAATGTTAAAAACCTATTTTCACTTCAATATAGCTCCATGACATACTACAGATTAATGCTGCCTCTTAATAGGAAAGCCAGGGTTTGCAGAGCAGCCTGCAAGACTAACAGATGACACATACAAACTTACAAAGAAACGCTAGAGGACCTCAGTGTTTTCCAATTCCCTCCTTGGTGATATGCAACACACCAAAAGTGCCTGTCAAGTCTAGAAAGAGGCAGTAACTGAAAATTAAGCCCAAATACTTATACTGTGTTAAACATGTGTATATGTCTGTAAATACACAGATAGGGCCCTAATATTTAGACAGTGTGTAAATGTGTTCACTTCAACAAGGGAAAAGTACCATAAGAAGTTTAGCAAGTAAATCTCTGCCTGAAAGTTCCAACAGGATTGATGGTATTCTACTATGTGGTTTAAGATATAACCTCATAACATTTTTTCCAGGGTCATAATATATTTAGCATCTGCTGCTGTTCTGAATGAACTCAAGTTTTTACACTTTGGACTATTTTCTAAAATACACAATATTTTTTATAAGTGAGTTATGGAGAAAATCCCTTTAGAGAACATCTTTATAAATTCTTTTTCAAAGCGACCTGCCGAAGAGACATAGTACAGCGTACAGTAAATGCTCATCAGGAGAGAAATCTATTTCCTAAGCAGACATAGTGGGATGTCAAGTAGCCAATTTTTTCTAATTTTAACTGTAAGAGAAGACTTCTGTCAGTACGTGGCCCCTGGGGTCAGCAGAGCAAGCCCAGCGTGTCTTTTGGATTCACAACACAGTTATGGGAAAGTGACTTGGCTCTAGGAATGGTTCACCAGATTCTGCTTTCCTCCTGAGATGCTACGGCACTGTGAGGTCGAAGGCAATCAGGAACCGTCACTGGTTCCCTTTACCTCACATTGACAGCTGACAGCACCTTCCTCACCTGAGGTCAGTAAACAACCTGTCGCCCCCACACACCCTTCAGCCTGCCTGCCCCTGCTCGGCTGTGACCAGACGTTCCCAGCTGGAGGGGCCTCTGCCTGGCAGCTCTTTCACTGCACATTGAACTTCCTCTGGTGGGATTTAGGTTTCTGTGCCCTCTTTGTCTCTGAAGGGGGTGACAAACAAATTCCAAACAGCCTAGTTTTAGCTTCTAGACAAATTCAGTGTGATCGTGGCAAAACTCATTTCCCCAAGACTGTGACACAATGAGTTGTCCTACCTTCTCATCTCGGAAGTTTAGGAATTGCTGGAAGACCTCACTTTCGGAGATCACTGGGTGCCGGCACATCCTGGTCATCCAAGCCTGAAGTCTCTCCATGCGCATCTTTATAAATTCCTCTTCAAAGCGACCTGCCGAAGAGACACCGCCAGTGACACACAACCCTCTCTAAAGTGAATTGCTATTGCTATGACTGAGAAGCCATTTCTGTGACTGCTGGCTGACAATAGAAAGCATTTTGTAAAAGGCAAACCGTGGGAATTTTTCAGCATTCTAAAAACCATGCAACACAGGATTTCTCAAAGGCTTACAGGAAGGATATCACAGTTTTTAAGGAATGAAATTCCAATTCAACATATCAGCAAAGCTTTTAGTGTGTCAAAAATTAAAATTTTAAGTAAGTCTTATTGGAATACAAAAAACTATCTCTAGCTCATGAGAGTAAACATTAGTCCAGTTCCTTGGTGGCCACAGGAAGCCCCAGAGGAAAGAAAGGAGGAAGTGGAGTTCAGTAAGTCACTCTCCCAAAGTACGTAACATTTCCAAAGCTGCAGAAATACAGCTGAGTGCACATAATCCTCACTTAGCACTGTACTCAGTACTTGAGCAACTCAGGACTGTTGCTTTATTTCTCCACTGTGTTTTAAAAAATTAAACTGAAAATAGGCTGGGGAAGCAGCTCAGAGGAAGAGTGCCTGCTTAGTTTGTGCAAGGCCCTGGATTCAGTCCATGTGTGCACCACAAAAGAAATCCAAAGAAAACACCCAACAAAAAACAAAAGCAAAAGTAATTTTTCCATGAATGTGATAATGGAAGTTATTATCCTAGAATTTTTATGGTTGCATTAAAGTAGAGCTCAATGAGCAACGTTGCTATTTTAAAAGTAGAAAGGCAGTTTGACAAGCATGAGGTATCAACAGCAAATCAACACCGAGGATTCAGGGGCCTGTGAAACAAACTCCACTATGACCAGTGAGGATACCACCGGATCCTCTCCCCAAGAAGCAACTGCAAGGCTGGACAGCAGTGGCAAAACCACATCAGTCCTCTGCAGATAAGCAAAGGCAAACAGCCATCTCTCCCAGCTCCTGTGTGCTTTCCCACCCCTGCTGAAAGAACGCCAGGGCAGAGCGCTATGGAGACTGGCAGCGCTGCCTTCTTGCCAGGGCAGGAGGCAGTTCATCTATGTGAAGCCGACAGAGGGAGCTGCCTGTGTTTCAGATAGGAATGGAAGTGACAATGGTAGAGGCGGGTGAACAGGGAGCACCAATGACCCTACAGCTGAGATGGCTGAGCCAAGCACATTCCAGGGTCAGGGTGTGCATAAACAGCAGCAGCTGGACCAGGCCCACCTGAAGCTGCACACGTGTGAAGAGACAGGAAAGGGCTCAGGAAGCCTGGTGCAGCAGCACACACTCCACAGTCCCAGCTACCAGGGCTAACTTGGAAATGACCTGAGCTTTGAAAGTACTCTCCCTACCTACAGTTACCTGGACAGGACAGAAGCCCTATTGGCATGAGTTGCTGAGCACAACCTCTGTCCAATCAATCACTGGCCTCTCACCAATCTACATGGACACAGGAAGTAAGACTGATAAAATAAACAGGGCTGGGGTGTAGCAGTGCTCAAGAACTTGTGGTATAGTATGCGTGAGTGAGGCCCTGGGCTCAAATCACTATAAAAAAAAAAAAAAGGCTTTTGAAATATAACCACATATAAAAATAACTAAGCTGCAAGGGAGCCAGAATTCAGAGATTCTGCCAATGAAAGTTACTTAACGAAGCAAAAACAACTTTCAGGGAAGAAAAATCAGAATTTAGAGTTGCTAAAATATATTCCCCCAAGTCTCTAGTTTTCAACAAAAAAATGAGAGTACTGCACAGAAACAGCAAGATATGATCCACACTGAGAGAAAAAGCAGTCGAAAGAAGCTGTCTTGAGTGTCCTAAGATGTTGAATTTAGCAGCTTCTACAAATATGTTGAAAGAACTAACGGAAACTTGTTTTAAAAAAATTAAACAGAAGTATGATAAGCAATCAACAAACAGCTTCTCAAAGAGATGGAAATTATTTGAAGAAGCAAAAAAAAAAAAAAAGAACCCCAGGGAATTAGCAGAATTGAAAGTACAATGACTGAAATAAAAAATTCCCTCTAGGGGCTCAACAGCAGATTCAGGATGGCAGGAGACAGAATCAGAGCATTTGAAGACGATCAATATAAATTCTTTAAGATCAAGAACAGAAAGAAAAAAATAATAAAATGAACAAGCCTTAGAACTCATCAAGCAACCAAATACCTGCAACGGGAGTCCTGGAGGGAGAAGAAGAAAAAGAAGCAGAAAAGATATTTGAAGAAATAATGGCAAAAACCTTCCAAAATTTGATGAAAAACTTTTATCTACATTTCCAAGAAGTTCAACGAACCTAAATAAACTTTGTATTTGTACAACACATACAAAGGGATCCTCACCAAGATAAGCAGAACTAAACCACTGAAAGACGCAAACAAAAAGAGAATCATGAGAGCAGAAAGCCTGGTGCCGTCTGTGTGTGAGGCTGCGGAATGAAGGGCCGGCTTGGAATTGTCCCAAGGGTTTGTTAACTAACCAGTGGTTGAAATTTAATGATTTTTATTCTACTGAAAAACTTCATCTTTGTGAAAATTCTTCTGACATAGCTGGTTTGTCTCTAAACTATGCCTTTGGAAGTTATTTCATGCTTGGTAAGACTTTCATACCAGGTTCCAGAGACTAATTTAAAAAAAAACACCAGTAGGAGGAACTCTCATTCCTCCACTTCATACAAACTTTACTTGGGTTTGCACCAAGCATGCCATGATACTATTTGGCATCCAGGGATAAACCCAATTCATTCAGTATTATTTCCCAAAGAACCAAATCCACAAAAAATGTTGGCTAGGAACTTTGTAAGGATATTGGTTATAAAAAAAAAAAGGATATTGGTTATGAAGTCCACAGAAATGTCAGGACATCCTCTACTGGGCTTCCTCCTCCTCTCCTCCCAGGGCTCAGGAGGAGGAGAGTTTGTACACCCAATGACCTGTGGCAATCACAGGCAGAAGGCAAACCAGAGAGAAGCGGGGAAAGGCGGCTCCGTGTGCCTCAGTCTCCTCAGCACACATCCCAGTCAGCAGGCCAAAGCACAGCTGTTTTTAGACTGGGGGACTTTGCTTTCTTGCTTCTCTCTGCCACCTGCTTGGAGGCATGCCCATATTTCAAAAAACAAACAAAACAAAACTTAATATGGAAGGAGAACTGTGACTCTGAGGTGCTTTAAATAGCACTGAATTATCTGATTCAGAATTAATAATGTATTAAACCTAAATGACACAAGGAAGCCCCACAACCCTGAGACAGTCATTGAACTTGTTAAATCCTGTGGAGCGCATGCTGTGCCAACCAAGAGGCCAAAGGTGAGTGTCACACCAACAACAGACTGAAATTCAAAAATACGAAGAAAGGCAGGACTAATGTTTTCATGGAAAGAAATCTGAAAGCTGACACTTAAGCAATGAGGTGGCAAAAGGAGGGAGAGTGTCTACCCTGGGCGCAGGCAGGGGGACTCGGGAACCCTGTGGAGGAAGTGGCTCACTTCCACTCTCCACCCCGGCTCTTTGAGGGGCCTCATCAGCTCTCCAGCAGGGCTGCTGGGATGTGTCCATCTACCTAGAAGGGAAGCCCTTACTCTCTATTCTGAAATTTCTGAAAAAAATTTTCAAAAAAGAAAAAGAAAAATTTTAAAAATGAAATTTCCACCCCCCCATTTCTAGAAAAGTAAATATTAAACTAAGTAAAATACAAAGTAAAGCTTTGAGGGGAATGACTCTCTTCTCCCAGCCCCTCGGGTACCTCACTCTCACTCTCCACCCAGGCCTTCCTGCACTGTGGTTTCCTTCCACTGAACATTTCCCGCTTCTACTAAACCCCCTCCTCTCACCTCTGGAAAAGCTCAGTGTCTCCAAAAACCTCTGTAATGAGCCACAGCAGCAGAGTCCCTGAGCTCGCACACCCAGATTCCACACCAGGCTAGGGATGAAGACCAGAGAACAGGACAGCTCCCCAGCTCGGGAATAAATCCTGACTGTAATAAATCCTGACTGCTCGTTTACAAGATGCCCTGGCATCACGTGGTTACTTACCAGAATAATTTGGGGGGAGGGAAGTGGTGAGGGAAGCAGAACACTTTAAATAAACAAGAAAAGGGAAAGGGCAATAATCAATTACAAACACCTCTGTAGAAAGTGACACAGCTGGTCTGCATAGCCTCTTTACATTATTTAGGTCACAATTTTTATTTTCATTTTAGGCTTTCTAAATAATTTCTATTTTTTCAGGTGTCATTTTTTCACATTTTTTTAAAAAATGTACCTATTTCTTTTATAGGAGAAAATAAAGACAAAGACTGCTGGAATTCAAGGTATACCCACTAGAGCTCTGATAACAATTTGTTCCCCTCAGTGTGGGGGATCAAAACTGCTAGCAAATTTTATCAAAAATCCCATTAGTGTTCAGGTAACATCCAGACGTTACCAGAACATCTGTTCTGGCTCCCTTTTCAGATGTACTAACTACTGTTCCCACACTTGGGCACCCTGCTGCTCTAGAGAACCACATCCCCTGGCAGGAGGCCAACCTGACTGCATCCTTTTCCTTGTCCTATGCTCAGCGTGACACACACTCACCTGTGACCTGCTTGTCTGGAAGAGAAGGGATCGGAATGGCTGATCCAAACTTAACCAGGAGACGTTCATACAACCAGTCAAAGTGCTTATACCTGTGGTTTACAGATCGATTAGTGTTCTACAAAATAAAGGAAAGAGATGAGAAGTTACCAATGTCCACTACAGAAAACAAGGGGAAAAGCAAGCAGCAGACAGCGTAGGGAGCACGGCTGTGTCCGACACTGTGCACTTACAGTAGGTGTTAACTGATATTCAATGTAGCTCTTCAGACCATACATTTTGGAGCCTTTCCTGGGATCTGCTACCACACAGTCAAATGTAGAGGTAGGATAAACCCACATCGGGCCATAATCTCCAACCTACACAATGATCCAGGAAAAGTTAATCTTATAACATGGAAAAACAGTACATACAATTGGTACAAATCAGTAAATGATTCTTTTAGGATTATAAGTCCTCTGGAAGGTTATTCTTACTCCTCTTCAAGAAGGTTCATAACTGGTCTCTGTTCCTATGAGAGGTCACATTTGAAGAACACACTTGTTAGGATGAACACACTTGTAGGCAGCCTGGCCCACAAGGAGGAGAAACTGGCTCCCCATCTAGGCAAGTACTGGCTGGAACACAGTGCCTCTCTCTAGATCAGTTTCTCAAGCTATTTGTGAAAAGCCATTTTAAAAAATTTCCCAATCTATTACAGACTAATAGTTTTACGAAGTAACAATTTACACATTTGGATTTCTCAATGATGTCAAATTACCATCAAATTTTCTAAACACTCTCATTTTTTGTACTTAACTCTGGGTGAACTAGTAACAGTTTTCAACTGGGCAACTGATCTGTGGATGATAATTCTGAGTAGCTCTGTTCAAAGCTACAGAAATGGCTAATTGGATTGGCCAGGATCTCACATCCATGGCTTTACTGTGGGCAGGGAGTTTTTATCTTGTCTCTCAAAAGCAAGAATTAGGCCAGATGTTTTCTCTTGGGGCTGTCTGTGCATTGGGTTGGCTCACTTCCTGTGCCGGGTATTCCACCTGCTAGGCAAGGTTTACCAAAAGACAGGCCCCATTCTTTCTCCACTGCCTTTTCCCATCTGTGACCAAGGGGCAAAGGCATAAATTCAGGTGAGGCTTCTTAGGCTTCCACTACAAAACTGGGGTTTCACTGGGGATGGGGTGAGGAAGGGAACTGGGCTAACATCTCTGTGGGGGTACCGGGAACTTGCATGTAAGTGTGGAGCCTGAGGATCATTTCTGCCAGGCACTGCTAACTGCCAACAGGTCTGCAGTCCTGAATGTGGCCATTTCATCTTGTTTAGAACTATAAGGCTATAGAGGTGGCTGCAGAAGACTTGGGTCCTGGGGCTCACACACAGGCTCCTGATATCACTCCCTGAATGACTGATAATTTCATGTTGGCTCTGGATCATCCATTTCAGAATGAATAGAAGCTTACAGATTTCTGAGATCCAGACTGTAGGACCAGTGGATCCCATCAAAGAACATATAAAGAACAGGAGTCTTGGGTGGCTCAGCGGTAGAGCACTCACCTAGTGCTTGTGAGGTGCTGGGTTTGATCCTCAGCATGACTTAAAAATAATAAATAAAATGAAGATATTGTATCCAATAATAACTGAAAAAAGAACAGGAGTCCTTATGATCTTGAGGATATGTTAACTTCTTGAATTGGAATAGAAAAGTACTAAATTATGTAATCTAGGAATAAAGTAAAAAAAAAAAAAATATGTAAAGGGAACACTTTCCAGGAAAGAAATCCACTCAGATTCAGGGAGAAATGAAAATAGTTTATAAAACAGCTTTTAATCTTACAGTTAGAAAAAGCAAGAAGAGTAAAAAGGAAACGAGAAGACCATGTGTTTTGGCTTGAAAGAAGAGAGCTTTGTGCAGGCTGAGATCTCTAAGGGAAAACCAGCAAATTTAAGGGAAAAGAGTGACAACCAGTCCTCTTTCTTTCTCAAGGTGGACAAGGGAAAAGTAGGATGAAGTATGAAAGTCCAGAGGTCTTTAGGTCAGGAAGGCAACCGAGGAGGACTGGAGTAAGGGACTAAAGAGAAGGTCTCCGAGAACCAACAGCCATGCTGTCCCCAGAGGGGCCGGAATGCAGGACGCTCTCCGAAAGCTTCAGAGTAGAACCCGAAGGCACCTTGGGGAACTTCCCTCATGACTGGCACTGAGGGGCAGGGTTGGCCACGTCCCCGGGGCCATATTTCACCAGTGGGAAGGGCTACTTGTACCTTCCAAATAGAGAAGCAGGTCTCTGGGTTCTCCTGGCTTCCTGAAGACTGTGGCTTTGCTCAGCTTCCCTTTCCATGCAAGAGGCCCTCACAGGCAGCCCTGCCTCTACCTAAAGCTCGTGAGACAGGGCCAGGCCCAGCTTTCCACACTGGTCCACCACTGTCACCCCCAAGACAAAGTCCACTTAATGAAGGTGAGGGCAGAGCCATGGGCTCTTGATTCTGTTGAGTTCTAAATTTAACCAAAAGAATAATTAGACACACACACACACACACACACACACACACACACACGTGTAAAGGGAACACTTCCAGGAAAGAAATCCACTCAGATTCAAGGAGGAATGAAAAAATTATTAAAAGCCTGGCACAAACAAAAAAAAAATCAAATAATTGTTAATTCGACTACTACTTTTGGTAAGGTATACCCCAAATTTGCTTTGAGGGAAAAGATAAAAGGGGCTCCACTGTCTGGAGGTTTCTAGGATTTGAAGCTTTTCAAAGATGTGGGAACAAGTAATTAAAGCATCCAGTATGATTCCTGCAATTTCATCAAGTCCAGAACCAAAAATTATAGAACCAGACCAGTGTCTTCTCATCCTTGTTGGCATCATGGCAATTCTACCCTAGGCTGCCCCACCTCACATTTCATAGGGTTAAGTGGATAGGGTCAGAAAATAGCCAGAATTTCATTTGGGAACATGCAGCTAGATCAAAACATGGGATGAAACCAAAGAGCCTGTGTCACTCTGCATAATGATCAGTATTCTAAGACAGGGTTGGTGTTGTTAGCGCCCAGCTTCCACTGCTTGAGCTGACAGCTGGCCTTCCGCAAGAAGCACTGTGACCAGCATACTGGGAAAAGGACCTGATTCTGACAGCATGCTCGCACTTCCCAAGGTGGAACTGAAACATCTGAACTGAGCTTATTAGCTGAAGTAGGTAGAAAAACAGCATGCAAAATACACACATTAGAAAAGGTTTAAAAGACTATGTCTATGAAGTGTTGCTTCAATATCAATAATTTCAAAGATTAAAAACAAAAAATATCTGGATAATATTCAGGCACTAATTTAAGCTAATTATCTTTAACATTCCTAAAATACTAGGATATCATCAATTATTTGGGACATAAATCTGTTTAAAAATACTTTCCAGAAGACTGATAACCCTTTTAGCTGTAAGGCATTAAGAAAGACCTTAATTAGAAACAAAGCAAACAAACAAAAATGAACAAACTTACGATGATGGGAATTTTCTCTTTGGGTTTTGCTAGTTGCTTGGCCAACAAATACTGTTCCATTCCAGGTTTTGCAAATCCAGGAAATCTAACCATGAGGATAAATGCTGTGAGTCTTAATGCCTTTCCTCAGAAATTTTCCAAGTCTCACCATGTTTCCCTGATACCCCAGCTTTAACCTTGTTCTATCTTTCAGATGCACCAGAACTGGAGTGTGGTAAATAAAACCTGATGTAAACAGATTGTTCAATGGCCAGCTCATCATTTAATTCCGCTCCAGAGCACTTTGATTTCAGAAGGTGTGATATTCATTGGTTCCCTGTTTGCCTAACTGGATCTGAAACCATCTATCACCAACATTGTAAAGGGAAACCTGAAAAAGGCCCCTCCCATGCCCTATTACCCAGCACACCAATTTGAGTTGGCCACATGGAGCAATGGGTACACAAAGGCATTCTACTTCGAAAGTACAGGTGCCTTTTAACACATTCATGCAGGGTGACCTCAATTAGGCCAAGAATGCAGACTCTGTTCACAAGCATCTGTGCCATTTTATTTTGGAATGCCTTCAGGGTCAGTTTATGAGACAGGATAGAAGTCTTCCTAGTCAGCAGACCCCAAGCATCATAAATGCATATGGCTACAACTCTACATTCAAAGGAAATATCTAAAACTGCAGAACAACTAGAATAGGTGCACAGTGATCCAAAGTGCTACTTCTCAAAAAGAAAATGTGTTTTAGAATTTACTAAAAAATCCTGAAAGCAAAATACCTAAAATCAGGGGGAAAATTTACTTTTACAAATCCCAGCCTGCTTCTAATTTCATTCATATACCGAGCCAAAGGCCAGCATGATGCTCGGGGGTTGGTACCTTTCTTTCATTCTTAACTGGCTTCCCAGAAGTCCCCATACCCTAGACATGCTTTAAAACGCAGCCCAGACAGGGAAGAACAAAGAGGAGTCTTGGAGTCGGTGGCTCTGGATGTGAACCGTAGCTCCAGCACTCAGGTGGTTTCCCCAGAGAAGAATGGAACTGAGACGACCCACGTTCTTGGGTGATAAGGGAATTGAGGGGTGTGAAGAACCCAGTATGGAGATACTCAGTGCAGCCTTGGGGGGATCCCTCTCTGTGCTTCCTCAGCATTCTGTACTCAGATGCCTGCTACACAATTTATCCCACTTAATGCCACTGTCCATTTACACACTACAGCAGACTAGAGGGACTTCAGAGAAAGTATTAGTATTTCCAGGACCTGAACCAGTCCTGAGGACATACTAAATACTTAATGAACTAGCAGGCTAACATGGTCCTTTCATTAAAGGACCTCTGGGAACCAGATACTGCAATAACTCCCTGACCAGATGGTGATTAAGCTGAGCACAGAAAGCACATCACATTTTTTAGTATTCTTATGGACCATGACAAAATTCTAGCATTCTGTGTACATCCAGCTATGGCAATGTAATTTATCAATTATTGAGCATTATCAAAATAGATCTTAAAATCCTCAAGCATATTTAAATTATTTGTCTCCCTTTTAGTATAAGGTTTATATTATATGAGTTGAATACAGCTGACAATAAAAAGCTGTAAATCCATTTTAAAAATTTTCATAACTGTTCGAAGTGACTCATGTGTATTAGTCTAGTTAAGTAAAAATGCATGTGACTTCAATTATTCCCAGCACCACAGAGAGAAGGAAGCCTGAGAAGAATAGGGTTACATGGAGACTACTCTAGTTTGGCTTCAACCTGGAATGACATTTCAGAGCAGAAAGAGTGCTTAATTAAAGCCAACCTCTTTGCTTTAGAGACAGGGAAACTGAAATTCAAACATGTCATCAAACTCAGAGTTTGAGAGCCAGTGCAGAGCAGGGCAGGGCAGGGCAGCTGTGTGAGTCAGCCTCACACAATGGCTAGGAAACATGGCCACTGGTTTTTCTTAGTCTCTGCTTTTCAAAATCGGTCCAAGAGACAGATTATATTTAAATGGGATTTAAAAATTATATTAAGGCTTAAAGAACAACTGAGAGAAACAGACATCACTACTGACCATACTGAGAATTTCATATTTGAATCTAAAAACAAGATATGGTAATAATGAATGACTAAATTTATTATGCACCTGACCATGAAAACACATAATGGAAGACACTGGAGAGAGGTGGAAGGGACCTACTTAATCCCTGGGGTGATTTCAATAGACTCTGGAATGTGTGGGCCTCCTCTAGACCTTGGCTCCAGATAACAGCCAAACATTACGTTTTCAGTTCTTTTCCATACACATTAAGAACTTTTTAAAATTAGAGCTTTATAGTTATACATAGTAGTTGGGTTCTTCCCGACAAACTAACACATGCATGGAATTCAATTTCAGTTCATGATCCCGACTTTTCCCCACTCCTTTTCCCTCACAGTTTGTCTTTCTCTATTCTACTAAACTTTCTTTCAGTCAATCTATTTATTTATGTCAGATTGGTTCTTTTTACTTATACATAAAGGTGAGGTTCCCTGTGGTATACTTATATATGCACATAACATGAATTTTTAAGAATCCACTCTGTATGACCTCCCCTTTCCCATCCCTCCACTGTCTCTTGATCATCTTCTTTTACAATATTGATCTTCCCTTTATCTTTACGATATCCTATCCTTCCTTCTTCTTTCCTTTATTTTACTCTAGCTTCCTCATATAAAAGAAAACAGCCTTGAGTTTCTGAGTGTGGCTTATTTCACTTAGCACGATATTCTCCATTTCCATTCATTTACTGGCAAATGCCAATAATTTCATTCTTTTTTTATGGCTGGGTAGAACTCCATTGTGTGTGTCCACATGTGTATACATATAATACACAAACACACACTTCACAATTTCTTAATCCATTCACCTGTTGATTGGCACCTGAGTTGATTTCATAATTAGCTATTGTGAGTTGTGCTGCTATTAAACACTGAGGTGGCTGTATTGCTATAGCATGGTGACTTTGGATTTTTGGGGAAAATACTAAGGAGTGGGATGGCTGGGTTATGTGGTGGGTCCACCCCTCCCCTAGTTTTTTGAGGAATCTCCATATTGCTTTGCAGAGTGGTTGCACTAGTCTGTAGTCCCAACAATAATGTGTAAGTATATCTTTTCCCCCAAAAGCTCACCTGCATTTATATTTGTTTGTATTCTTGATCATTGCCACTCTGACTGAAGAAAGATAAAATTTTAATGTAGTTTTGATTTGCATTTCCCCGATTGCTAGAGATGTTGAGCATTTTTTCATATATTTAAACCAATCTTGCATCCCAGAAATGAAACCCACTTGTTCATGGTGTATTTAGAATGTGGTTTGCTAATATTTTATTAAGAATTTTTGCATCTATGTTCATCAGGAATATTGGTCAGTAGATTTCTTTCCTTGTTGCATCTTTGTAGAGTTTTGGTTTCAGGGTTATACTGGCTTCACAGAATGTATTTGGGAGTGTTCCCTCCCTTTCAATTTCATGGAATAATATGAGAAAGACTGGTGTTAGTTCTTCTTTAAAGGTCTTTTCTGGAAGGCTTTTCATTGCTGTTTCAACTTCATTACTTGATATTGGTCTGTTTAGATTTTCTATATCTGATTCAATTTGGGCAGGTAACATGTGACTAGAAATCTGTCAATGTCTTCTATATTTTCCAGTTTATTAGAGTATATATTTTCAAAATAAAGTTCTGATAATCCTCCAGATTTCAGAAGGGTCTGTGGTGAGATCTCCTTTTCCATTTCTGATCTTGTTGACTTGAGTCTTCTCTTTCTTTTGGTTAGTTTGGCTAAGGGTATGTTAACCTTATTTATCTTTTCAAAGACCCAACACTTTGTGACACTGATCCTGTATGTTGTTTTCTTATTTTCAATTTCACTGTTTTTGGCTCTGATCTTAATTACTTCCTATCTTCTACTAGTTTTGGAGCTGGTTTGTTCTTTTTCTAAGGCCTTGTAGTAGAGCATAAGTTTATTTATTCAGGACCTATTTTTTAATGTAAGCACTCAGTGCTATACATTTTCCTCTTAGAACTGCTTTCATACTGTCCCAGAGATATGCTGTATCTCTGTTCTCATTAGTTTTTAATAATTTCTTTATTTCTATTCTCATTTCTTCTTCAAGCCTTTCTTTTTTTTTTTTTTTGAGGGGGGTGTGTTAGTACCAGGGATTGAACCCAGGGGTGCTTAACCACGGAGCCACACTCCCCAGTCCTTTTTAAGATAGGGTCTCACTAAGTTGCTTAGGGGTTTGCCATTTTGCTGATGCTGGCTTTGAACTTGCAATCCTCCTGCCTCAGCCTCCTAAGCCACTGTACTACAGGTGTGTGCCATCATGCCTTGCCTTTGAACCATTCTTTTTTTTTTTAGTTGTAGATGGACACAATACCTTTATTTTATTCATTTTTATGTGGTGGTGAGGATGGAACCCAGTGCCTCACACATGCTAGGCAAGCGCTCTATCACTGAGCCACAACCCTGGCCCTATTTTGTGTTTTATTTAGAGACAGGGTTTCACGAAGTTGCTCAGCACCTTACTTTTTGCTGAGGCTGGCTTTGAACTCACAATCCTCCTGCCTCAGCCTCCTGAGCTGCTGGGATTACAGGCATGTGCCATCGCGCCCAGCTGGGGGTTGATTTTTAGCTCCCGTGTGTAGTTAATCTTTTGAGTATACTTTGTAGTGCTGGCTTGGTGCTCATGAATTCTTTTAGTTTATTCTTGTTATGGAAAGTATTTGTTTCCCCCTTGGATTTGCTACTAGCTTTGCTGAGTATAGTAACTTTGAATGGCAGTTGTTTTCTTTTAGACCTTAGAATATCTCATTCCAGGCCCTCCTTGATTTTAGGGTCTGAAGTGAGAAATTAGAAGTGAGCCTTACTGGTTTGCCTCTAAATTGGATGAATATTCTTTAATAACTACTTTGAATCATGAACTTGGAACACTTAAAAACAAGTATTAGTAATTTTAGAAAACAAGCTATTTGAAACAAAAGTACCTGAAGAAGAAGAGTACTTGAAGGCTCTGAGGGATGACATACTTTTTTGTCTTTCAAGTTACACTCTGAAGTATACTATATAAACTTACTAGAATTCTCTACCAAAAATCTTACAGTGCTAAGTCCATATTCACTCTTTGCCACATGCATTCTTGTTAAGCAGTAAGATTGCAAGTATTATAAAAAAACATTTTTTCTTTAAGATAAATCTAATCTTAAAGAAAATAGATCTCGGGAACATATTCATTGTAGTTTAGGAATACGTGCTTTGGGTATTGATGGCCTGGAATTCTGGCTAGGTCACTTGCCACCTGTGTGAGCTTGAGCGTTTCCTGACCTCCCTGGCCTTCAGTTTTCCCCCACATTAAGACAGGGACTATATGTACCACAAAGGGACATGAAAATGCATGCAAATGATTTTGTACGATGCCTGGGACATGGTTAGTTATTAATAAGAGTAGAACTTTTAAGAGACAGCTGTTATTGCCAGGAATGGTGGCAAATTCCTGTAACCCCACGGGCTCAGGAGACTGAGGCAGGAGGATTGTAAGTTCAAAACCAGTCTCAGCAACTTAGAAATTTAACAAAACCCTGTCTCAAAATAAAAAATGTAAGGGGCTAGGGTTGTGACTCAAGTGGTAGCGCGCTCACCTAGCACACGTGAGGCACTGAGGTCGTTTCTCAGCATCACATAAAAACAAAATATTGTGTCCACCTAAATCTAAAAAAATATTTATAAAAATATAAATAAATAATAAAAATTTTTTAAAAAGGGCTGGGGATGTTGCTTAGTAGTTAAGTGCCTCTGGGCTTAAACCCTGGTATCCCCCCCTCAAAAAGTGTAGCTGATATCAATATTATTTTTAGCTTTCTTTAGCTTTATACATATATTTACATTTCTTATTAGTAATTATTTTTAGCAATGATAGCTAAATATATCATGGAGTTTATAAAGTAAAATAAAAGTTATTTGGTAGATCATTAAATGGAATTAATATTTTGCTTATAAAATGATTTTAAAAAATCAACTTGCAAGCTAAGATGCAAATTAAAATGGCCAAGCCATATCCAAAACTCAATAGATTACTGAACACAGAAGAAGCCAACTGCCTCCTTGTATTTTAGATATATTATTAAACTCAGAGCCTGGCTTCCTCGTCTCCTTTTGAAGCTTACTTGTTAAGTGGCAGCTTCATGGAGGAGGCCCCAGGACGACTATTTCCCCGCTGGACACCTGCTTCCGCTGACTCTGAGTCCTTAAAGTAAGGAGAAGAGGACTTGGGGTCATCCCAGTCTTCATCCCAGTCATCGTCATCACCAGTTGCTAGAGGTGAGAACAGAAGAACATCAGTAAAAAAAATAACAAAATAAAATTACTTAATTTTCTGATAACAACTACTGAACAAACTAGCTAATTTTTTGACAGGCAGAAAAAAGGATGTAGTATAGGAGTATAATGTAGGTGTTAAGAGAACAGGCTTTGCAGTCAGACAATTTTAGGCTTGAATCATGACAAAAGACAAATGATAAAAGACAAAAAAGTGCAAAAGATAAATTAGAAACACAGGTCAACTGACTTTTGACAAGGGCACTAAGACGACTCAATGGGGAAAGGATAGACTCCTTTATCCATGGTTTTACTTGCTGCAGTTTTAGTTACCCAGAGTCAACCATGGTCCAAAAATATTAAATGGAAAATTTCAGAAACAAACCAGTACTAAGTTATAAACTGCACTATTTCACATTGCATGATGAAACCTGGTGACTTCCTGCTCCATCCTACTGGGGATGCAGATCACTTCTCTGTCTGCTTATCCATGCTGGATACACCATCACCTATCAGTCAGCCAGCTGGGTCATGAGGTGGACTGGCTGAGGTATCTCAGTGTTCAGGTAACCCTTATTTTATTTAATAATGCCTCCAAAGCACAAACATAGTGAGGCTGAAAATTCAGATGTGACAAAGAAGCTGTAAAGTGCTTCCATTGAGCAAAAAAGGAGGAATTCTTGACTTAAGAAGGAAAAAAATTATGGACTGAGTTTGCTAAAATTTATACTAAGAACAACTCTTCTACCCATGAAATCAGGAAGAAGGAAAAAGAAATCCTTGCTAGTTTTGCTGTCACATCTCAAATTGCAAAAAATTGATTATAGTGTATGATAAGTACTTGGTTAAGATAGAAAAGGCATTAAATCATAGATTTTCATATTGCAGTTTTGGACATCACTATGGGTCTTGGAACATATTCCCCCAGAGAAGGGGGACTACTATAACCCAATTAGAAATGGACAAAAGACCTAAATAAATACTTTTCCAGATATACAAATTGCTGACAGATTTATAAAAAGATGCTCAACATCGCTAGTCATCAGAGAAATTCAAATCAAAATCACAAGAAGGTATCATCATCTCACAGGTGTTAGGATGGCAATGATCAAAAAGTCAAGAGATACAGATTATTGGCAAGGGTTCAGAGAAAAGGTAATCCTCGTGCATTTCTAATGGGAATGTGGGTGGGCAAACACTGAGTGATTTCACTTACATGTGGAATCCTTGAAAAGATGAACTTACAGGAGCAGAAAGAAGAATGCCAAGGGTGGGCAGGACAGGAGAGGAGAGGAGGAGTGCAGAGGGAGGCATACAGTCTCCCACAGCCCAGGTGGCCCCTTACTCTTATTCATGAAACTGGCCCTTCAGGTGTGTGAATCTAGGACTCCTTGACTGAGACAGGACTGAACGTTATAATTCATGATGGTCTACATTTGGACTCAGGTTTTTTTTTTTTTTTTCCTCTTTTTTATTAGTGAGTAAGAGCAACTGTGAACAGTTCTTTTGAATAAAATCTATTTTTAACTCAGATGACCCAGTGTGATATTGTGATATAATAAACATATATTTGATCTCTGCCCCAGTTTCCAGCAAAGGACTCCTAAAATACTTGTAGTTTCCAGAGCAAGAGGAATGCTAGGTGAATTTTTTGTTCTAACACAGTTGTCTCTTGGTATCTGGGGGTAAGAGACTGTGATTGATTTCAGGACTGACCACCCTCAAAGTCTAAAATCCTCAGACACTTCAAGCTCATTTTATTAGATGGTACAGTATTTCCATTATCACTTATACATACATCCTCCTGTATCCTGTAAGCCATCTCTAAACTGAATATTTATGCTACATTGACAGTTGTTACAGTATTGTTCAGGGAAGAATGACAAGGAAGAAAAATGACCCTCTGCAACACATTGGCAACAGTAAGTGAAGTGCTTCCTTGAGCTCTGCCAACAGCTCCAGCAGATTAATGGGACCCAAACAGGGCATCCCATGGCTGACTCCAAGCAGGCAGTGTCAGGGACTGAGGTACACCGCAGGACCCCTAGCCAGTCAATACCTGCTGCAAAACTGCTTGGTGCATAGGGTTGGCCACTGAAGTGTGCCGTGTGCGCTAAGTGTGGGAAAAACAAAACCAGATTGGTTTTCTTGCCTCTCACCCAGGTTCCTACCAGTCACTTACAGTGGGACCCTGTCCTCACCTGGTCCTTGGTAAGCTTGGGGGTGGCCAAAGGCAGAGTCCCAGTTGTTGGCAGAGTTTCTCTGGGGGCCAGTCCCCTCGGGCTTGGCCCCCCAGCCATCTGAACCATCCCAGTTCCCAGATTTGGAGGCGCTCCAGGCTGACCAAGGGTCATTGCCACTGCTGACCTGGTGTGAGGGGGAGAAAGATATCCGTGACTTCTGGAAAGTGTGACTTAACTCAGCAACAACCAAACACAACGCAAGTGCTGAAAAAATCCAAGAAAAATTCTCTTAATTTTAAAATCTCAGTATTTTTTTCCTTTGAATGTATAGGAAAGCACAAAATGGGAGTGTTGCCCTCCTTTTCCTGGTATCCACATCCTGCTGTACTTTCTCAGGAACTCTGATAACAGAAACAAAGAAAGTAGTAGACTAGGATGGAGCCCTTTTTCTTCTTCCTCCCCAGAAGTAACTTTTTTTGTGTTCATTCCCATGTGTTTTTGTAAGTCCACCGCACATGTACACACTCACAAATAACAACTGTTTTATGGGTTAAAACTGAAATAAGGGACTGGGGTTGTGGCTCAGTGGTGGAGCGCTTGCCTGACAAGTGTGAAGCACTGGGTTCGATCCTCAGCACCATAAATAAATAAATAAATAAAATACAGGTATTGTGTCCATCTACAACCAAAAAAATATTTTAAAAAACTGAAACAATGTCATATTGTATGTCTTGCAAGTTGTTTTTCAATCAACACTGTATTTTGGATTATACATGATGATGATGAGGACCTGTTTTATAGCAATCTGTTGTATTTTTAGGCTTTTATTTTTACTTGAAAAAGTAATACAAGCACAGGAAAAAAATTTCAAGTGGAATAAAAGGATATGCAATTAAACATGCCTACTACCCTAAGATGCCAGTAACTCTTTCAGAGACAACCACTACTATCAAAAGTAAAAACTGCAACAAAATTAGTTATAGATCTAATTGGCTTTTATTCAAGATTCATGAACTGGGCAGTTTCCAACCTACAACATAGAATGAGAATTCACAGAAGGCAAAGGTTTTTTTTTTTTTTTTTTTTTTTTAGGTAGGAACAAAAAATAGAATAATAAAAACAGCAGCTAAATCAGGTTTATTTATTTATTTTTTTGGTAAGGAATAAAGGGCTAGTTTTTGCTATAAAGGGCTAAAAAGGACTTCCTTCCTTCCCCCAACTCAGGTGGACTCTCCTGTTTTCTGGAAAAGCTGGTCTCCTTGGGATGGATCTGCTTCCTTACATTTCAGTTTGCTTATGCAGCATTTAGCAGGAAGGATCCCATTATGGGGCCTAGGACAAGAGCCCAGGCCAGAATAAGGGCCTCTTATATTTCTGTCTAACCTCAGTAGACATTTACTGCAAAATCCAAAGCACAGAGATTCTTTTTTGTTTTAAAACCATGTAAGTAGGTCCAATTCTGCATTCTGTTCTGCACTTTGTTTTCCTCTTTTCTGGCGGGGGGTGGTGGTGGTGGTGGTGGCGGGGGAGGGGGTGTTACTGGGAATTGAACTCATCCCCACATCCCCAGCCCTAGTTTGTATTTTATTTAGAGACAGGGTCTCACTGAGTTGCGGAACACTTTGCTTTTGCTGAGGCTGGCTTTGAACTTGTGATCCTCCTGCCTCAGCCTCCTGAGGTGTTAGGATTACAGGTGTGTGCCACCGTGCCCATTTCTTTCTCATTTACTGGCATGATATATCCTCTAAGGTGTAGCAACACATATGGACACAATAATGTTCTTTTACATGTCTCCAAAGAATTTCATTGTATTTAATTCCCCAAATTTAATAAATTCATTTATCTTGTTTTCAATACAATATTACAATGTATAGTTTTGAACATCTTTTCCTATGTATCCCATAGAAATATGACAAATGCTCAGAAGAAAAATTCCTGGGATAAAGATATGTGTAATTAGAATAAGTGGGTTTTGTTGGGATGCTTTTACAGAGACTGCAGGTGTGTTTCCTCATTCCTACCAGCATGCTGGGGGTTTCTGTCATGCACAACTAGAGGCTACAAAACTTAAAAGTATTTAAAAAATATTTTCCCTCACTATTCTTTTGAGCAGTTTTTAATGTATTTATCAATCTGTGGAGGAAATCTTGGAATCAGTAACACACAGCCCCATACTTTCAGCACTATTTAAACAGGATCCTGTAGCCTGCCTTCCAACCCAACTACCCAATATGTCTGGAAATTACTTCAGTATAAGAAATAACACAGGAGGCCAGCTTAATATTTTCTTGTATTATGCTGTTGTCCTAATGTCATTTAATGAATAATCCATCCTCCCCACTGATTTAAGTGTTGTCTTTATCACAGACTGGATTTGGGTCTATTTTTGGACACTTTGCTATTTCTTAGTGGCTGCTGGCACCCTGCTGCTTTGCAGCCCATCAGATACCATCAACACTTCAACATGACATCTTTAATCTGTTTAGCTAAGTGTGTTTAAATTAAACCAATCTATAAACTTTAGCATTAGAATGTCAAGGTTAAAAAATGTGTTGATTCTCATTTGAATCACCTTATGAAATTCACTGATATAGTCTGAGAAAATACTGCCCTTTTCCCCACATTTTCTGTATTGAAATTTAGGAACATGGAATACCAAGTTTTCCCTTTTACTTGAGTCTTCTCTCCCACATAAAAACAAACAAACAAACAAAAAAGGAAAGAAAGAAAGGCAAGGAAACCACCTGGCCTGTCTAATGAATAGCTCTTTCTGGTCTTGGGATGGCCTGTGGCTAGTCTGTTCGTCCTCTTTGCAAACCACCACTGGGTGGACAGCTGGGGCCTTGGGCCAGGGAGCCTGATTATACTCTAACACCCTATACTGCTTCAGGAAAACAAAGTTACCCTAAGTCCAATATGAACAGAAGTTTCATCACAAGCCTGTGGGCTTCTCAAATACAGAGTTCACCAAGGGTCACTCAGCTCTGGGGATGGACTTCCAGTCACTCTGGTGGACAGTGGATATGAAGTGACTGTGCCGAGGGCCTGACAAAAATGCTTCATGCTTTAGTTAGGAAAGACCCCTTCCTCTGCAGTTTTTTTTTATTTTTTTTAGTTGTTGATGGACCTTTACTTTGTTTATTTATATGTGGTGCTGAGAATCGAACCCAGTGCCTCACATATGCCAGGCAAGCGTGCTACCACTGAGCCACAACCCTGAAGTTTTGTTTTAAGGGACTGAATCAGCAGCATATTCTCTGCATCCTCCAAACTCTAAGTTATGAGGCTTTGTTTTCAGAGTAAGAGCTTCAGAAAGCACAAAAGATTGGGAGACTAAGATGGCGAAGAGTTCAGAAAATTGCTTGTCTAGAAGATTCAGCCCTGACCTCCTTCACCTACAGAGGTGGCGGGTGGTACTCAGGCACCAGTGAGGAGCAGGAACCCAGGCTGTGTTGGACCTCTCACTCCCCGCCTGAGGCTGGAACTCCAGGCAGGCAGCCTCAGCTTCAGAAAGACTTCTGGGAGCCGAGAGGTAAATATGAAGGAACAGAGGGCTGTGGACCAGGACAGGAGAGTGGAAGTACAGGAAGCCTTGACAGCAAACTGGCCAGAAGAATTTTCATCAAGATCAAGGAAAGAATCAGAGGGGAACCAGTCACAGCACGTACCCTCAAAAAGTCACAATCCATTTAATTAGGACAGAAAATACTACTGTTCTTTCAAAACTGTTTTTTTATAACTTATAGGCATATTATTTGGTTATGTATGTGATCCTATTGGTCTACCTGGTTATAATTCTTGTACGTTTGTTTGCATTTTTTTGGTAATTTTCTAGAACATTCTATCTTATTCAACCTGACTCCCGCTGACGATAAACCAACAGGGAGTACTTCTTTAGCTTCACCAGGGACCTTCCTCTCCTAGCCAGCTCAGTCCCTCTTGGACTCTCTCTCCAAACTTACCCTTCCTATACATTGCTCTCTGACTTCTTAGTTCTCAACCCAAATGCTTTGGTCCCTTAAACACATACATTAAGGCCATAAGGTCACATTAAGGCCCATTCTACAACTTGGCTCAGGTTTCTGATTCTGAAATGCCTCTTTTATTCTTTTCCTCTACTTCTCCCTCCTCCCTCTCTTGGTCTTTCTCCCCCCTCTCCCTCCCTTTCTTCTTTCCTAGCATTGGTGATTGAGTGCAGAATGTCACATATGCTAGGCAAGCACTCTACCACTCAACTACATCCCTGGCCCCGTCTACTTTTTGAGACAGCATCTAAGTTGCCCAGGCTGGTCTCAAACTTGGGATCCTCCTGCCTCAGTCTCCTAAACAGCTGGGAATACAAGCATGTGCCACCATGCCTGGCTTTATTCTCTTTCTTTTCCCACCCCCTGTAGTACAAAGCTTCTCCTACCACATATAATTAAAACCCCTTCATGAGGTCTCACTGCCCATGGAAGAAAATCCAAGCTTCTTATGCCATTGAAAAATCAAGCATTTTGGCGGCCTGGTCCTTTCATTCCAATCCATCCCCTATTTTCAATATCCATCACAAATCTTTACTCTTGTTTCAAACCTCACATTTTCCCAGACTCTTCTACATCTCTTGCCTTTTCTCATGCTATACTTTTTCTGTCCTTATTCCCTCCTCTTCCTACATGTCAAGGTCTATCCAGAGAGATCCATCCTTCCCAGAGCCTACCTGGTGACATTCATTCAGTCACATTCTGGTAAAGTCAGCCTTCTGTTACAGTTACTTGCTGTTAGTTGGTCAGGCCCACCACTCAGTCATAAGGCTCACAGAAGTCCTGTCTTATTTAGAAAATATTTTCCAAAATACTTGCAAAATACCTTGCATGGAGTGATGTAACTTAAGTTGAGGAACAAAAACCCAGATCCACTCTTAAAAAAATTAAAAGAAATTATTTAGGAAGAGCAAAGAATGGGAATCCAGCTGTGTGTGCTCCAGGGGGCTTTCGGTACAGCTGAAGAGGACGGACAGAGGAAAGCTCTTAAACGAAAACAGAAGTCCATGTAAGCTGTTTTAAAACAAAGACAAGTGGTTGCTGGGCTTTCTGCAGGAGTTGGCATTAGTGTATCGGTGGAGACAGCCTCTGATAGTCCAGCGTCCTTGCACAAGCGGCTTCTCTGGAATACTGGATGCTTCAAGTCTGAAGAATCTTGCAT